TTTTTTTGTTTTATTTTTGAAACAGCCCAATATTTCCAAGAAGATGGAAATTTTATGTTGAATTGCTTTTTTTATATATTTTTTCTCAAAAATTTTCTTTAGATTTTGACTAATTTAGAGGACTGTTGCTCCTTTGATCTGTAATTATATGATTAATCATCTGACAGTATAATGTTAAAGTTCCCTAATTTGTCTTTTAACATTATATGTTTTGATAAGTTACAGATTTACTGGATATGGTTGTCTTTTCCTCCTTTTGCTCCATGATTTGATAAGTGAAGCTTTCACTTACTTTGAATTTGGAGTTTTCTGGTGGGTCACTTTTTATTTGTCTTTAAAAATCTCAGTAGAAGTATTGGAGTTGTTTCCAGATGATGAAACCCTTTCAAGTGTGATAGATTTCCTCTGAAATATATGTATATATGTTGAATACTTGTGTTGTACTTCTTGGTTGCATCCCTTTTGTACGTTTTCTTTTACTTATCTATTTTTTGTTACCTTTACTCTAAAAAAGATTCAATAATGTCGAACCCGAGATTTCAGCGTGATTTTCTTTTGCAGGCTTTTAATATGGGAAGAATGTTACTACGAAACTGCATCATGTTCAGGGCTATCAGAAGATCCAAATCCAGAGAACTCATTTCATGATCATAGTGCTTCTTGGGTTTCATCTGAAACTTGTAATTTACAGTCGAGTGTTCGAGCGGGGGATAAGGTTCATTTCCTTGTAAACAAGATGATGATTGACAATCAAGTTCATGTTGTGGGAGAAGGGTATCTAATTCTCAAATCTTAGTAAATATAGTTTGTGCTTGAGGTCATGGAGAACCTCATTCTTTTTCCCTTTCGTCCTTGTTCGATAAAAAGTATATTGCTTGTCTTATTTTTCCTCAGTTTAGTTGGAAGAGTTGCATTTACTGGAAACCATCAGTGGGTCTTAGCTGAGAATTATTATAGAGAAGCTCAGCCATCAGAGGTATTATGGGAGTTTTTTGCAATACTTGAAAGAAAGTGTACTCATCTTTTAGCTGGAAAAAGAAAAAAATGAAGAGGCTTATATTAGTGTTTAAAATAAATATGACAGCTTTTAATCATGATTCAGCTGATGCTGCTTTAAATCTTTCATTTCACAGCTCTTTCACTAGATTTATCTCAGACATTACCGTGTCTTAATTTGAATGTCGTTACGTGACTCGTTTTGTTCACTTCCAAGAATGAATTCTTGCATAAATCACTGCAGCTATAGTGTGATTTATTTTATTTTTTTTTTTAATATGAAATATAAGAATTTAGACTATCAGACTTATCTTGGTTAAAATAGGCTGTTGCCAAAAGTCTGAATATATGGTAGGTTCTAATGGATTTTCTATTTAATGAATGTCAGGTTTTCTCTGTTACATATAACATACCTCTTATCTATTGTTGGCCTTTACAGGTTCGAAAGGAGCTGTGCCTACAATTTGCAGCCGGTATGAAGGTACCGAATCAATAATTTTGCCTGTTTTTTCTTCCTGTCCTTTTATTAATTCATCATGGCTTTGTGATTTGATGGTCTGACTATTTCTTTCTTTTAATTTTGTGATCAGACGGTCGCAGTTATTCCTGTTCTTCCTCACGGTGTTGTTCAATTTGGTTCATCCTTGAATGTAAGGATTTTCTTTTCGTTCCTCATAGTCATGTTGATAAAATGATGTTAAAATTGTTATGCAGTGTACGCTTTTCTTGCGTGTACCAATTATAGCTGATATAGTTCCTCAATGTGCTTTATTTAATGTAACGATCGTACTTCTTTATGAATTTGTTTCACAAAAAATGTGTAATTTGTGTTTTCTGTCTCAGGTAATGGAGAATATGGGATTCGTGAACGACGTGACATCACTATTACTTCAACTCGGATATCTTAACGAACTACCTAAAGAACACACTCTGAATACGTTCAGCCCGCCTTGCTCATTTGATAGCTTAAACTATATTTCAAACTCGGTCGAGCCTTCTATGATTGACAGCCAAACATCTTATTCCTTGACCCCGAGCCAAAATGGACTCCATCACCACTTGAAAATTGCCCAGCCAATGAAATTAGACTTTTCTTCCTCAATCCAGTCAAAAAATGTAGTGGCAAAGGCTGAAGTTATTCCCTCAATACCAGAAATGGGGTCTACTCTAAGCGTACCTTCAAATATGGATAGTAACACTTCTGCTCTTTTGATCCCCACACAAAGAACTAATCTTGGACCATTTTATTATTCTGATGATGGAAACGTTAATTCAAAGGACACGTCTTTCAGTGAGCTTAAAAGTGTTAGCTTTTCTAAACCAGAGAAAAATACAGACATGAAGATTCTGAAAAATCAGTCGAGCGTGATTAAGAAAGAGATCAAGAACAATGCAGATAAGGCCCTTAATATTCCTCTGCCTCAATATAACGAGCTTATAAATGCGGGCATCGATGAAAAGCAGAATTCAAGAGATGACTTGTTTGACGTCTTGGGAGATGATTTTAAGAATAAGCTGTTCAGTAATTCTTGGAATAACGAGTCGAGCAGTGATTTTCCTACTATTACTAATACTAGTCGAGCAAATTCAGAAAGTGGGATTTTCTCCTCGACTAGTTCCGACCATCTCTTAGAGGCCGTTGTTTCTAAAATTCACCATCCGGTAAAATGGGGCCTTGATGATAGTGTTTCTTGTGCAACCACATTCACCAACATTAGTGGCTCATCTGGACGGAGTTCTTGTTCGCTACCCTACGGCAGGTTCGGGATTTCAGATAGCATGAAAGAAGAGCTGTTTGGCGTGCCAAAATTTATGGCCAAGGCAGGACCAACAGGTTCTGGCTCTTACTCGCAGGGGAGCTCGATTTGCGGGTCGCAATTAAGTTCGTGGATCGGGAGTGAACAAAAGGGTAAACAAGCTAACAGCGTGTCCACTGGATATTCAAAAAAGACAGACGATGGGGGTGGTAAAATGGGTCGAAAGAGGCTGAAACCCGATCGGCAGATGATCCAAGATAGGGTAAAGGAGCTGAGGGAGATTGTTCCCAATGGGGCAAAGGTAATCTCTTTCTGCATTTTGTGATATGGGCATTTTGGTTTATTTTGTGTATATATATGTATGTTGTTAATATTTTTGTTTTTCGGGTATGACAGTGTAGCATTGATTCCCTACTTGAACGTACTATCAAACATATGCTGTTTTTGCAAAGTGTGATGAAGCACGCGGACAAGCTGAAGGAAACTGGAGAGTCTAAGGTGCGTAATTGTTATCTCAATCCTTATTACTTTTAAGCTTAAGTTTGATGTTTCTTTCTGTTAACCCTTCGCTGCAAAATTTCCGATTGATTTTGTTTGTTGCGCAAATTGCCCTGAGCAAAATGGAAAGTGATGACTGGCTGACATGCGTAACTATATTCATCTCTTACTGTTAAGTTGAGGTTCATTACAAAAACACTCATCATGTTTAGTTTAATTGCAACAAAAAAACTCCGTCCATCTTTCCAAAATGCAAATATCCCTTGAAAATTTATAACAATGCTATTGAGTTTCAGATTATTAGCAAGAATGGAGGTTTAGTTTTGAAAGACAACTTTGAAGGTGGAGCTACGTGGGCCTACGAAGTATGCTCACAGTCGATGGTCTGTCCTATCATAGTCGAGGATCTTAATCGGCCACGTCAGATGCTTGTGGAGGTAACAACAAGTATCCTCTTTGAAAAAAAAAAAAAATTTTATCCATTGGCCTTTGTTTCTTGAAGTTATGTGCAAATGGTTTTACCGAAAGCTTTCCTTCAACAGATGCTCTGTGAAGAAAGAGGTTTGTTTCTTGAAATAGCAGACATGATTAGAGGACTTGGGCTAACCATTTTAAAGGGAGTAATGGAGACTCGGAAAGACGAGATCTGGGCAAGCTTTGCTGTCGAGGTAAATTCTCCATAACGTCCCAAACTGTTGTAAATATGTTATATTCTTCTTCATTTGCTTTGCATAGAAATATTACGGTGTTTAAGCTAGCATTTTACATACAGATGAGTAAAATTTACTGTCTATTCGCCAAATACTCTCTCTTAATGAACCCAACTGTTAGCAGTCTTGCTTTGCTATTTTGGAACAGGCCAATAGAAATGTCACAAGAATGGAAATATTCATCTCGCTAGTTGGTCTCTTGGAGCAAACAACGAAAACCGGCAACACTAGAGCTGAAAACCCTATTGGCGCAACAGGCTGATCGAGTCGCCTCAATTCCCGTTATATCCCACAGTTTCAAGTGACCCTAATGACACATTCATGGTTTTGTTCGGACGTGTTGAGAGCGGGCGAAAAACCGCCATGACTAACTCGTCGATCCTGAAAAAATTGCTCATTTAACTAGCCACAGTGACCTGTGGTTTGGAGGATGTCCCAGTATAATACAAGAGCATGTTAGAAAAATAGCTGATGATTGTGTAGCATATGTATTGGCTTTTATAGTGGTTTTTATCTATAGTAGTTGGATTTGGATGTTAATAATTCTCCTGTTAGAGGTACTTTGCATTATAAGGGGGATAAGTGTGTATATTACTATAGTGTGTGTGTATGTATGTGTGACCCCTTAGTGGTTTGTTTTCTTTGTACCGTTTTGTTGTATCGTGTTTTGTTTAAAACAGTGAGTTTCGTTTGGTTGAAGGTGTATTGGTTTGGGATTTCGATTTTCAGATTTTGGAAACACGAGCGAGCTTACCAAATATATCGAACCGAATACATATACATCCGAACGAGTCGATTAATTTTATCCAAAACTTTATTCATCTCCTCTCATATGAACACATGCAATCAACAAAACCTAAAATGTGGACATGTGAGATGGGAAAAAATGTGACATTTTTCCCGTTATCGAGTCCCATATCAACTTAAAGTGTTAGTTTATGATTCTGAAAACACAGGCCTAAGTGAGTGAAGGAGGCCGCTACCCAGCTCGAATCGGCCTTTTCTTAATAAAGAAAAAAAAATGGTCGATGTATTGGCTAATACATTAAATCTAAAATCTAGCCCCTTTAAAATTGAAATGGTTGAAAAGCACTACGATTCGCCGCCGGCGTATCGTCTGCTCTTTTAGGTGGCTTGCGAAGAGAATCAGACGATTCGCCGAAAACATCACAGATACTATTATATGTTTGAAAACTCAATATAACGAAACCCGAACTGCACATGAACACAAGTTTTAACCATTAATGTGTGTAAATACAAGCAAGAGCTATGAACTTTACATAAAAACTTCCATCCTCAAAGCCAAACCAACCTTCCCTGCATAACAAAAGCACAAGCAAGCAGAGGATCAAACCACCACCCGGCACCGCCTCGGACCACCGGTCAGAGTCCCCTGCCTCCCGTTGCTCGGAACCCCAACCTCCAAATCCCCGCAGAACACCTGCAGGAGCCTAACCCTGGTCCTCCATGCATTCGTCCTGAACCTAACCCTAGAAAGCACCCTCAAATTTAGCCCTATGCTCCCTCTACTCCCCCTTTCTCTGTTCATCCCATCTGCCGCCACCCGCTCGACGAAATTCCCCACCGACGAGAAATTGGCAGTCAACTGAGTTTCGCTCTTCGTGCCCAGCGAGAACGGCGGCAGCACGGTGTCGGCGAGCGACCACGACCTGTAATAGACGGCGGCGTCCAAGCGATCATACGCGAGGGTCAGCCTCCGGTTGGGGTTTCGGGCCGTGAGGCGGACTTGGGATGTGAAGGAGACCAAGGAGTTATCGCTGACGGTCAGATTGGAGAGGGTGACCGAGTCGACCCGGAACTGGGGGACCTGAGGGCGCAGGACAAGCCATATGATTAAGGTGACGGCTCCGAGGACGACAATTAGGCCGATGGTGAAGGCCAGGAAGCGGCGGGAAAACGTGGAGCGGCGGGGATGGTGGTAGGGATTGTTTGGATAGCCGTAGTAGGGGTTCGGTGGAGGTGCGGCGGCGGCGTAGGGGTAAGCGGTGCCGGAGGGCGGCGGATTGGGTGGATAGCCGTTAGGGTTGGAGGCGGGATAGCCTGTGACGGGTCGGTTGTGGTCTTCCATGGGTTTTTGGCGAGGAATTAATAATAACTTTGGAGTTTGGAGTGACTGTCTGTTTTGGAAGATGATCAGTGATAAATGATCAAATCTCAAAATCAAAGCTATTTTATTACGTGTCAGGTACAATGAAATAATAATATGATTATATTATAAACTAAAACTAGTACAATACTCGTGTATTACACGAGTGCTTACTAATTTTTTTTTTCTTAAAATCTAAAATTAATGAGAAATAGTAGTTTGAAAATTTAAATACATTTTATAAGAATATAGATATTATTATATATTTATTATGACACTTTTTATTTGTGCAACTTATTTGTGTTATATTATACTAATTTTTTTTTAACTTACAATATATAACTACATTACATATAAATATATCAATTGAGAAATAATTTTATTTTTCTAATGAATTTTAATAAATATTATTATTTTTTATTATTATAAAGATAAATATAATTTATTTATTTCATATATACAATATGGATGTCAAATCGAAGATCATCAAAAGATGATTAATTTGATATATTATGTATGTAAAACCGATTAGAAATACAAAAGTTATCAACTTTTAAAATACATTTATAATTTAATAGCTTATTGAAGGAAACAAATCAAAATTCAGGGATATATTAGTCACTTAGTGCCTCACTATGTAAAATTATAAAAAATTAAAGGGTTATATTAGTAAAAGTGATATTAAAATACCTAAGTTAACTAAATAATATTTATGAAATACCCGAACCAAGATTATTAATTATTAATATATCAATATTATTTATCCAAACCTAACTACGAAGCATGATTCTTCGCCAAATAGGATTTCGAAGCATCAGAAGCAGCCACGTAGGCTCAGCGCATTCGAGAATTATATATAGAGAGGATATATAAATAAAATTAAAGATTTTTTTTTCCACATAAATCCCTAAACCCCTTTTCAACTTCATTTCAGTCCTTACTCCTAACTTAACATTGTTAAAAGTCATTGAGTAAGCACATCTTGACCGGAAATAATTAGGTGTGCCCTGGCACACCTTGCTAGGTGTGCCAGGGCCTTTTGTGAAATACAACTCCCCTAAAAGCGCGTGAGGTAAGGAGGTAAGACAATTTTTTTTTTTTAAAATGGGACATGTATCTCATTTCTATTGGATAATAAAATTCATATATCATATTATATAAATTAAATTATCATTCATATTTTGTATCAAAAAATAAAAATAAAAATACCAAAATTCATAATTTTTTATCCTCTACAAATAGAGACCACAATTGATATTTTTTGGAACACAATTAATTTATCATTTTTTACAATTAATTTATCTTATTGGAAAATTATGACATAAATCTATAATTAGATGAATATGTTACATAGTAAGATGAACATGTTATAGAGTAAGATGAACATGTCATAGAAAATGTTACATTTTCATAGATGAAATTTAGATGAACATGTTCTAAAATAAGATGAACGTGTTACATAATAAAATGAACATGTTATAGAATAAGATGAACATGTTACATAATAAAATGAACATGTTATAGAATAAGATGAACATGTTACATACACAATAAGGTTAACATGTGACATAATAAAATGAACTTGTTATAGAATAAGATGAACATGTTACATAATAAAATGAACATGTTATAGAATAATATGAACATTTTACATACACAATAAGGTGAACATGTTACGTAATAAAATGAACATGTTATAGAATAAGATAAACATGGTACATAATATAAATGAACATGTTATAGAATAAGATGAACATGTTACATAATAAAATGAACATGTTATATTATGTATTATTTCAATCTGCAATCTGTAACATGTTCATCATATTTGAAAATATATTCATTTTATTGTGTAACATGTTCATTATATGTCAGTATAATAAAATAATTACGAAAAAACGAAAAATTAGTTGTGTTCAAAAACCTATCAAATGTGGTCTCTATTTATAGATAATGAAAAATTATGAATTTTGGTATTTTTATTTTATTTTTTTAATATAAATAATCAATGATATTTTAATTTATGTAATATGTCTCATTTTTTAATTAAAAAGGAAAATTGGGGATGCGAACTACACTCTCTTAATTTCTCTAGTTTTGAGGAGTTTTGGGGATAAGGGGCGCGTGTAAATGTGCCCTGACACACCTAGCTAGGTGTGCCAGGGCACACGGTAGTGGTACTGCATCTCGACAGTAAGACGTTTTCACATATAGGTCATGTGTTCAAGTCAAGGGAAAGTAGGATCATGATTAATAGTGATCCTAAAATCGGTTACATGTTTCATAAAAAATAAAATAAATAAAAATTAGATTGTAACAAACAACGACGGGGAACTCAAATAATTTTATTAATTTTTTTTTCTAGCAACTATATATATATGAATTTATTATTTATATATATATATATTTAAAAACTTTGAAATTTTAAGAATAATAATGTATTCGTTTAAGATTTCAGAAAGGTTTAAAATATTATTAGGTTGTCATTTGAAATTTTAAAAAGTCTTACAAAGTCATGAATAATATTAACTGAATTCTGTATCAAAATACAAGTACCAAATTCCACTCTAAATCTCATCTATAAACATGAGATTGAGGATTTGTTAAATAAAAAATCTTTTAAACTATTGAGTTCTAATAATTTGAAAATATCAATCAAAATCAATAATTGCACCATTTTAGTTGTCTTTTTTTTTCTTCTTCTTCTTATGTCATTTTCGTAATTAGACTCAAGGAAATGACTTGGCAATTTCTAATAGCTTATTATTAAGATTGAATAGGTCTTCACACATTTAAATGTTCAAATTAAATAGGAATAACATGCATATAAAATAATAATTTAATAGGTTGTTGGGATGAGGCATATTTCGATTTTAATTTCCTAAATACTACAAGAAAATGTTACTGTCACATTATGAAATCATACCGTTAAAGTTTCTAACCCTTAGACTATCATGTAATATCGGAGATAGTTGATCTAACGGTTACAAACTCCGAAGAAACATCTCACATATTATTCTTCATTTTTTTACTTCTGTTCCCATTTAAGAAAAAAAAAAAATCGCCCAATTTTGAAAATTAACATTTTTTTTTCGATACAAAGAAAGAGTCTAACGCTTCTACGTTACGACTGAGTCACATACGTTCCTCGAATACGAAACTCCACTAATATCATGGAACATCCATTGCCGAACCCCATCAGGCGGTTCTGGGAAGAAGTGATATCCCACGGCTCCTTCAGTCGCTAATGATGCCAAACAGTCGGCAGCGAAATTCGCTTCACGAAACACATGATGCACCTTGACCTGCCAAGGGCGGCTCAAAAAAATTAACATTAACTTACAGACCAAGTAAAATGTACAAGTACCATCCTTCTATGTCTTTTCCGTGTTCTTGACTTTGTTTCCCTTTCATGGGGACCGAGTCATTTTCTCTCTCTTTCTCCATTTACACATTTTTTTTTTTTTTGGTATACATATATAGCTGTGATGGCTAATTATTATCCGTGTAGTTGTTGTAGTCACATCCAAAAAAGCGTTGACGAGAGAAAAACGTCGGTGGGGTTATGGAGGAGAAGCCGCCGGAGCTGATCGGAGTGTGGAAGAGGGTGGTGGTGGTTGGCGGCGGCGTAGCCGGCTCCCTCATTGCTAAGTCTCTTCAGTTTCACGCAGATGTCACCCTCATTGACCCGTAAGTTTCTCTTTCTTTTTCTCTCCCATGCCCTTGTAATTTCTGGATTGATTATGTAGTGTTTGAATAAATGCCCCAGACAAAGTTTTAGAAGCCTCCTATTTTGCTCTGTTTCAACATAGTATTCTTACATTGTCACGCAAATTTTATTCCGATGATTATTGCAAAAGATGATGTTTTTGAGCATTAGGTGTTTGTTTTAGATCAGATCCAAGGCGTGCCAACTCTGGCAGCACGTAGAATTTATATATATTTTTTTTTTACCTAGTAATAATAACTCGAAAAATCTACATTTGAATAGGAAGGACTACTTTGAGATTCCATGGGCTAGCTCAAGGTCGATCGTGGAGCCATCTTTTGCCGAAAGATCTATTATTTACCACAAAGATTACCTCACAAACGGTCGTCTTGTTGTGTCCAAGGCCATAAACGTCTCGAGTTCTCAAGTATTGACCTCAGACGGTTGTCAGATAATTTACGATTATCTCGTCATTGCCACTGGTCACAGTGATACATTCCCCAAGACGAAACCCGAGAGACACAAAGAATACCGATCAGGTAACATTACACAGCGCTGCCAAAATCAAGTCGAAACTAGTTTCTTTGAATCATATTATATTAATAAATCTTTATTGTTGTCAGTGAAGTTCATGAATCGTTTAATCAAAATTTCGTGTTTGTGTTAGCCATTAGGGAGTGGCTGCAAAAACTTCTGCAATTTTAGAGAAGTATTTATGTCAGTTGAAGCAAAATGTAGTTGACAAATGAGGAAGATGGCAGCATTTTCATATCAGAAGCTGAAAGCCAAATAAGTTAAATAAGAGTTGGTGAAATTTTTTTATATTTCTAAGTAAATTCATTCACAGAAAAGAAGAGAGTTATCGAGAGTGCTCTTACATTTAGATCCCTATTAAACTATACAATCAGAAGAAGTTGAGTTCTTAATGCACTTAAATCTACTTATTAAATCCACTCATTTAATTCAGATAAGAGAAGGGAGACTCATGATCAATATATATAGTTTTCAACTGATCCAAATTCTTCTCTTCTATACATGCAGAACATGATAAGATAAAATCCGCTAATTCCATCTTGATCGTTGGTGGGGGTCCCACCGGTGTCGAACTAGCCTCTGAGATCGCAATCGATTTTCCAAACACAAAAGTCACTCTAGTTCATGAGGGGTCTAGATTGCTCGAGTTTATAGGACCCAAAGCGGCCGACAAGGCATTAGAATGGCTTAGATCGAAGAAGGTTGAAGTTAAATTGAGACAGACAGTTGATCTCAACAACTGCTCGGAAGGAACCGAATCTTACGTGACTTCATCGGGCGAAACTATAAAAGCTGATCGTGTTTTCGTGTGCACGGGAAAACCGGTGGGGTCCGCTTGGCTTAAGGATACATTTTTGGAGGAAAGCATTGATGTTTTTGGAAGGTTGAAGGTCGATGAGAATATGAGAGTTAAGGGTTATAAAAATGTTTTCGCCGTTGGAGACATTACGGATGTTAAGGTACGTGCGTGATGAACGAGCATTTAGTTTATAGGATGCAATATTTTTAATCTTTTAATTTCTTATGTAATGATGAGAATTCTTGATTTAGGGTCCTAAGAGTAAACACATTGCTTTACAGGAAATTAAGCAGGGATACTCGGCTCAAAAACATGCTTTGATTGCTGCGAAAAACCTGAAACTGTTGCTGAGTGGAGGGAAGGAAAATAAAATGGTGAGTTACAAGCTGCGTTCGTTAAAAGTGATTGTTTCTTTGGGGAGACATGATGCCGTGGCTCAGTTCCGGTTGACAACGTTAATCGGATTAGTTCCTGGTTTGATAAAATCCAAGGATTTATTCGTGGGGAAAACGAGGAAGCAGCTGGGGCTCGATCCTCGCGTTGTGGACTATTGAGTCTCGATTTTATTGGGGAAATTATATATTTTTTTATTTTTTTTCTTTTCTTGTGTTCCTTGCTGGGGAGGTTTATAATTGTTATGTTTCTGTTGTGTAAAGAGGGATCATATTGCCCCTTGAATGTTATATAGTTTGAGGACTCGACATGCTTGTGCTGTGTGAAATATTTATAATCTTTGTGCACACATTTATGATTGATATATAGTGGTGAATAACAGATGATATTTACAGTTTTTCTATCGTTCTCTTATCTTCTATTATAGTTTTATCACCACGAGTGTTCTACAAATTTGGTAAATTGTGCGATTGCAAGTTATAGTGAGTACAACTTTTCCTGCGGCACGAAACGAACACGTTTTCCAGGTGTCTAACCCGTGGATTCTTGGTCGACCGTGGATCCTCATTCGCGGCACGTGAGTCGGCCATTGATGTGGATATTTGCAGTCGACTTCCTCGAGAGCAATATTCCTACAAAAAAAAGAGAGAGAGAAATAAGATGTACTAGAACGACATGAAAACAAGTAAACGAGCAAAAATAATAAAATGGAGCAAGAAAAACCTAAAAAAAATTAAAATGAGCACAGGTTAATTACTTGAAAATCACATAAAATAACAACATAACAGGAGGGCAGTCGGCCTTTATGGCCAATCACTCTCACTTCACCTATGGAGGTCGACCCTTCTCCACGAACCCGCCTAGAGACACGGATAATGTTTTCATGGAGGACGACCACCTTCTTGAAGAGGAGACTGGAGACGACGTAGCCAAGGTTCATAGCTTCTCTCTCTCTCTCTAATAGTGACGAGTCCCTCCATCTTACCGACTACAATTCTGTAGACGTTGCCATTTTCTAAATATTACATCAATTTTGAACTCGTGTCGTTATAAAGACTTAATTTAATTTAAATACTAAATCTATTTTAAAATGGTTACCAATTTTCTTTAACCGTAACACCAAAATTGAAAATACAAAATTGTGATCATAAATTATCAATAACAAAATAGTAATTTTTAAAATTAGTAGTGAATTATAAAATTGATGAAATATGAACTAATTTCTAGAGAGAAGTATATAAACCGCGTGCATAATTTTAGTTCTTGGAGATACTTTTAATAAATTATAAAAAATTAAACAATAAAATAAAATAAAAAATGATATACATTGGAAGGATAGGAGAAGTATATAAACCTACATACTTTTGACCTTAACTGCTTGATCAGTACTCCATAATTTCCCTATATATA